GGAACCTACATCCAGTCGTGGAGGTGCGGGGACCATGAGGCATTACCCACTGTCCCTTCAGAGCCACGACTTGAACTAAGTATTAAAAAAAAAATTCCAAGCCCAATATGTTGGAAGTATTATTTATTCAAACAAACCAAAGTCTTTTATCTCCTTTTCAATGGATTTTACCCTTAAACTGATGGGACATACAAGTACAAAGACACGATCACTTTAGAAAACTCGCTTTGAAGCGCACAATTTGGACAGTGTCTCCAGAGCGTCCGCCGAGATGGAGCGAACACCTCCTTCCCCAGCTCTTGATCTTACCGCAACTTTAAATCAGCGCCGTGTACTAAAGGTAGAGGGGACATTCCAAAAGGGAGATACAAAATACTCTTAAGCATTTTAAAAAAATACAAGTTACACTTAAGGATTGTGTATGAAAGGCTGTTAGTCTGAGAGATGCACAATACATTCTGCAAAGTGCAACCCCTGGTGGCTGCATTAGAACACAGGTTTGCGGCCTTCCTAAGGAAAACTCGAGTGTCTGCTGAAGTGGCAGAGCACAGGGACTTTCTACTTTCAGTATATTCATCTGTGCAATTAGCAGAAATAGTAGGACATACGCCATTTTAGATGACAAGAATCCAGCTTTCATTACATGACAAATCTGATTTCTTCTCTCTCTTCTCACAGGTACTCATGGCTACACTGAGAATTCCCGATCCCCACTGAGGAGAACATGCGTCTGCAATGAGGAGAGTGAGGGGGAAAATGCCAAGTTGATAACACTAGCAACAAAGAACACAAAATTATATAAGAAATGGGAGTTGAGGGAGTTTATTTTGGGTGATTTTCATTATAGAGATCCTTCCCTGACTTGGATCCCTTTTTCTTTATCACAAAAAGAGAAACATTTAATGTTTTCTTAACTTTCACTCAGAGGCGTTAACTTCAAAACTGAAAATTTCACTCCTGCAGACACAGTGAAGGGAGCTGAAACCTTGGTTCTCCTAGCGATCTTAGCCACCGGGCGCACATCCAGCCGACAGAGAAACATGCCCTGTGCCTGGGGAGACCCCTGCCTTCTCAAATACCCTGATCCGTGCCTCCATCATGAGTCAAAATACAAACATTCCAACCGAAATGAAGAACATTCTGTGGGAAAACACGAATGGTAAGGAGGCTAGGTTTCAAGGTCCTGGAGGGTGCAAGGCCCCTTTCCGTGATGCCAATAAGATGACAGCTGGGCTCAACGGACTCGGAATCTATTTTACAAACCTGTCACTTGTAACTACACAATCACACGTCTATAGTGGCAAAATACCCTCCTCAGATTGACCTGGGTGGGGTACCCATGTGGAACCTACAAATTCAGACTTCGCCCAGTTGGTCTTATACAAATAATTTTCCACCTGCAAAGAGAGCCGCCCACTCGTCATCACTGCTTCGTAGGCACCGCAAACTCCATCCATCAGGTATCGAGGGGCCAGACCGCCCTGGGACCTCAGAGACCAGGTGTCCGGAGTCTCTCTCCTGGGCTGGGTCTGAGTTTATCAGGAACCTTTCCGTGCCTCTTGGCCCAGCCCGAGCTGACCCACGCTCGTTAAGAGCAAGCGTGCTGTGAAATCACATAGGACGATGTAGTTTAGAAACACTGGCCATCTGCATATAATAATATCCTATATAATAAAAGCCTAATATGCAAATCAACCAAACAGTGGAATGACCTGTTGCTATGATGCGCACGGACCACCAGGGGGCAGATACTCAATGCAGGAGCTGCCCCTAGCCCATAGGCCCCCGGCCAGCCAAGGCGGGTGGCAGCAGGGAACCCCCAATCACCCTGCCAGTCACCCCACAGTTAGGTCCTGATCACCAGCCAGGCTGAGGGACCCTACCTGTGCATGAATTTCGTGCACTGGGCCTCTAGTCTGATTATAAGAAACCCTGAGAAAGTTTGGGGGTAGAGAAGAAAACACTGTATTGATTGGTTGCAGCTGGTGTCCTCACCCACACAGGGCCGGGCAAAAGTAGGTTTATAGTTGTGAGTCCGCAAAGCACAGTTTAGTCTTGTATTATTATTTACCAACTAGAGGCCCGGTGCACAAAATTCGTGTGCTGGGGATGACGGGGAGTCCCTCAGCCCAGCCTGTGCCCTCTCACAGTCCAGGAGCCCTCAGGGGATGTCTGTCAGCCGGACAACCTTAGCGCTGCCACGGAGGCAGGAGAGGCTCCCGCCATTGCGGCTGTGCTTGCCAGCCACGAGCCCAGCTCAGGGCTTCTGGCTGAGTGGCACTCCCGCTGTGGGAGCACACTGACCACCAGGGGGCAGCTCCTGTGGTGAGGATCTGCCCTCTGGTGGTCAGTGCACATCACAGCAACCGGTTGTTCTGCTGTTGGGTCAATTTGCATATTAGCCTTTTATTATATAGTACTGTTGTACTATTTTCCCATACGAACAACTGTAAACTTACTTTTGCCCCACCCTGTATTTAGTTCCAGTAGCTGACGGAACTAGAGGTTTGGCAGACACTCTGATGTCACTAGCAGGCCTGGCTCTGCTCTCACTTCCACACTCCACGGATGTGGCTGATGACCACGGCAGGCTGTCTCTACCCGCCCATGATGGCAATCACACTGACCCAGGGCCCTGCCCAAGGCCAGAAGCATGTCTGTGCTCACTACAGTCACCTGGGGATGCTCATCCCCTGGCCCGGGCCATGCGCAGTGCAAGGGTCCACTTTCTCACTGCCCATGCCGAGACGGGGCACGTGACCCCGGCTGGAATATTCCTGATGTTTGGGGTTGGCGGCTGTATAAAACAATTTGCACCTCCAATCGATTCAGCGACTTTAAGGGTAAAAGACATCCGTGGGTTCCTGGAATTGAAGCTACTTTTTTAAAAGAGCCAGTTCTGCTTATTTTGTTCCATACTGTTGATTATTTTAAAATTTCCCTTCCCCACTCTCAGCATGTCTTTTCCCCTTTGCTGTGTAATTGGTAAACAGCCACGAGTTTGCATGTGACATTCTCACGACCCAACAGAAACGCGCACAGTAAGTTCTGCCGGTGCAGTTTTCTCGGCACTAAACATCTAGCATCTTTCTTGGCAAAACTGTAATTTTATATTTTATGGTGTTTAGGTTTTTTTTCCTTAAAAAAATAAAAATTCTCTTCGTGGCGGTTCTGTCATCAATTGTGGTAAGTTTGCACAAGCACACACTGCGATCCCAGGCAATTATCTGGCTTCCCTTAATGAGGATCAGGTCTGTGAAACTAGATGATCGTTGTTGATGAAGCGGGCTGCGGGGCGGTGACTTATTCCCAGTGACATCACGTGGCACGAGGCCAGAGCTGAGAAGAGAACCAGGTTTGGCAGCTCTGCCACGTGGGGGCCCGGACAGGGGAAATTAACAAATTCCCACCCTCCCAGGGAACCTATTAAATAATGAAACACTCCTTCCTCACCTTAGATGAGATAATGCAATCACAACTGCTTTGTAAAAATCTAGGACCCGGAGCTCCACGAAGTGAGTGATGCATCGCTGGGAGCTACTTCCATAATTTGGAACCACAGTTAGTTAACCCCACGTTGATCTCCAGCCGAAACCTCCGCATTTCAGGATGCATCAGTAAAATCCTTCCCGATGTCGGGGGGCGGACTGCGTTCGGAAAACCCGTGCTGTCACACGCAGGGACCTTTCACACTGCGCACTTGTTTCAGGTTCAGAAGGAATACAGAATAGTGCGCGGGACGTGCCAGGTGACCCCGAGCTATCACTTGTCATGCTTTCCAATTCCCGAGGAAAGAATGGGCCTGTCCTATTTCATAAACAGTTTTAGCTGCTGAAGAGAGGATTTCGTTTCAGGCTTCCAAATACTTCATCGGGATTACAGAGCATTGTTCCCAGAGAAACAGCCATTGCCCATCAGAGAGCTGGCAAGGGTTTGACAACAGCCTCATGCTAAGCTGCAGTTTTCAGGCAAGAACCATCTCCCAGCATTTCTCAGTGTGTCACCAGCTAAGGATGACACCCTCAAACGGCTGCTACTTCCTTTCCTGCTCAAAACAAGCTCCTTGAAGGTGTCCCAAGCCAAGTCTCAATTTACGTAACGGGAGGAGGTGGGAGCCACTCACCGGGTTTTGACTCAGGGTCCAATTTTCGGCGGCAAGCTATGCCAAGAAAATGTCCCGCGTCCAATTGTCTATTTCATTCTCGGTGCTAAATTAGGCTTTTGTAATTTAAGTATTCCCATTAAAATGTCACATCCAATGACACCAGAGATGAAAAGGTAGAGAAACGTGAGACGAAATACAGAGAATTACAGCACACTTCATTCACACACCCCAGCTTGAAATCTAATTTGCTCTTATCACGTATGCCGGGAAGGGTGTCTGCTAATGGGCTGCAATAGAAATATTCTGAGCTCAGACACCTAACGAGGGAATTGGCACGGAGGACACCTGCCCGAAGACACAGGAAGCAAAACTAACCAGGTCACATCGGCAACTCTCTCCTTACTTCAGGGGTTCAGGCTTTTCGAAGCGAGGGGAAGGTGCCATGGAGGGGCGCTGCCTTCCCTTCTAGGCAAAGTGGCCCACAGAACAGCTACCTGGGAGAAAGCCAATAAGGCAAGAAGAGGATTAGGCTTCCAGAGAGTTCTAACTCTGAGATGTATCTTACCTGTATTAACTAGCTGAGACCAGACGTGATGATGAGCATCTGATAACCATCAGATGAGTTTTCTCCCACCATCCCCTCCTAGGAGGCTCATTCCTGCCGTGCTTGAACTGGATCGAGAATAACACAGAAAAGTCACGTTTCTCCGCACAAGTACCTGTGAGAGCTGGTCTGCGAGGCCACCATGACAGGCAGTAAGCGACCGCCCATCTCTTCACACTGGCATATATTTCTAAATAGGGAGGTGACCCTGGGACCCAGTGAGCAGAGCCGGTGGCTGACCACCCACAAGCAGCCTATTTCGAAAACAAATAACACACCAGCCAGAGGAGATCCTCCACAGTTAGCCCTTCCAGTGGGATTTTATTATACATCCAACTCACCGCAGTAGCAATGCAGAGCGAACACTGAACTTGGCACACAGACAGGAGAGAAGGGACGCTGGCCTGGAGCCCTTCTCCCAGTTACATCAGATCATATAAGGCTGATTATATCGAGTTACAGGTTTTTGGCTTTTCTTTGGCAAAGGCCTCAAATGATAGCAAGAGGGGGTTTCCCCAAATAAAGACACCCCTGCACACCCAGCGGGGCACCAAAGACAGAGCGTGCCCAAGAGGAGAGGAGCATGTGGGTCACCTGCTCCACCAGGTGGTTTAAGCGATGCAGGCGGGTGTGCTGGAGTCCACGGGGTTCTGCAAACGGCAACACGTGGTTTCCAAGCACAGGAATAACAGAAGGTCCCCCAAGTCCTTGGCATGTCTTGCGTCTTCCTTCCCCTGAGAGCCGGTCAGAAGTGCAGGCATTTAGCCGTTTCCTACTTCTCAAAAGGGTAACCATCAACCTACCTCCGTAGAAGATCTGGGAAAAGGAACCACTAAGCCAGTGACATGGACTGTGTTTCTCTCACTGAAACGCTGTTTACTGACTTTCAGATGAGCATATGAGCTAGAGCCGGGGTGGTGGCGGAAGCTCCTGACACACGTGCGGTTCAGAGCCAGCCGCCGGCCTGCTGGAAGGAAGGTTCTTTCAGGACAGGGCGACGGCTGGAACCAGCCTCCTGCACCTCCACCTGGGGTAGGACCCCGGGCGGAGTGCCGGTGGAGGTAGCGTCTGTCTTTGACCTTCACGCCAGCAACACTATGGAAGCACTGAGTACAACAGAGCGGGCTTCCTCCTCACTCCATCGCGATGGGCGAAGGCCTGGCATCTTCAGAGGGGCTGGTGAGGACCACTGGGTGCCGATCTCCACTCAGGGCCCAGAAAGGCCCAGAAAAGGGGCCTGCTGCTGTCTCCGACTCAGAAGGGCGGCTGGTTCTATCATCAGGCCCCAGGCTGCTTCTCCTGCCATCGCGTTGTGAGCCTTCTTGGACCCCTCGGGCCCTGGTGGACGCCTGGTGCAGAACACCTTTAAGTGCAATGGGTGCCAAGCTTCCCGGGAGGCGAGAGGAGAGATGGACTACATGCCCTCCCTTCTCCAGAGATGGGAGTGGAGCGCGGCTTGCTTTTGGTTTCGAGGCACAACAAGACGGTGTGGTATGCCAGTCACATGGTCTGAAGCCCAATGCACTCTGTTTTGGTTTAGATTGAGGTGGTTTTATTATCATTTTTCTCGGAAGAAGGGCGCTAAGAAATCAAGAATCAAAATACAGTGAATCTGGAAGGCATCTGGGAGCAGAAGAGAGATTTAAGAGTAATGGACACGGGGAGCACCCTGGCTGGGCGCCCCCTGCCTGCTGCACTTAGGACTTAATTCTCTTAGGAGCTGAGTTCAAGGTTGCTGGAGTTCAGGCTTTGCTCTTCATTTCCAGCGATGCCGGACCAGGGAGGACTCATCGTTGACAACTTCGGGGTCCCGGGGGCCGTGCCGACACCGGACCGGGAGGAGTAGCAGGATGATTAAGGTAAGAAGGATGATTCCACACACACTCATGAGAGTATAGGAGACGATCCACAAGATGGGCTCGTTCAAAGGCAGGGTGGGGACACAGTTGCTGGCTATGTCGTCTGTTGAGAAAGGCCCAGAAATTTCAGACACCGGGGTACCTGCAATTTCTGAGGAGACAGAAGGGGGAAACGCACAGCTGTGAGGTGAGCAGTCCATCACCAACATACGACAAAAGAGATAACCCTGCGCTTTACCGAGCCACAGCCACATGGCACCAGGCGCAATGGCTCAGGCACCTGGGCGAGCCCTGGGGGAGTCTCGGAGGCAGCGTGCCTTCAGGGGTCCATCCCCCGGGACTGGAATGACAGCAGGTTTCAAGGTTTAGGTGTGGAAACCGCCTGGTAGAAGGGCACCAGGGAAGCACCAGGCACGCCACGGAGGGCAGGTGAGAGCATCGGTCCGTGCCTGGCAGGCCCAGCTGGGTTGGTTGGTTGTGAGAAAGGAAGAGAGCAGCAGTACCCACAGCCGAAAGCTCAGCTGACCCCGCCTGCGTCCTGGGGACCTCCCCGGTGGGGTCACCTGGGTCCATGCTCCGGAGGGTCCTCAGTCTACAATGTGATAGTTTTACTTTTAGTTTTTAGAGGAATCGCTACACTGCTTTTTCATAATGGCTGCACCACACAACCCAGTAATTCCACTTCTGAGTAGTTCTCCAAAGACAAACACTAATTCGAAAAGACATACGCACACCTGTGTTCACACGGCTTTATGACAGCCAAGACATGGAAGACACCTGCGTGTCATTCATAAATGAATTGACAAAAACATGGTACATATGTACAATGAAATACTACTCAGCCATAAGAAACAAACAAACAAACAAAAAATGTAACCTTGCCATTCATGACAACAGGGGTGGACCCAAAGGGTATTACGCTAAGTGACATAAGTCAGACAGAGAAAGACAAATACTGTATGGTTTCACTCATATGTGGAATCTAAAAAAAACCACAAAATGAAACAAAACAAAAATCAAACCAAAAAGCCTCCAAACAGACTAAAAAAAAAACAGAGATTAAACTGGTGCTTGCCAGGAGGGATGAGGGCAGAGGGATGGGTGAAAAAGGTGAAGGGGGATATAGTGAGTGAATACTGTGATGTTTGCATGGTGACAGAGGATCGCTAGACGTAATGTGCTGAGATATGTAGACGTCAAATCACTGTGTTGTATACCTAAAGCTCATATAATATTGCGTCAACTATACTTGAAGACAGAAGTACTTAAAAGAGTATATTCAACAACCACAAAACCTCTACAATGGGCAGTGTCCTTGCTTCAGCATGACCCACACTCTGCATGGAGTCCATGGCCACCGGGGTCAGAATGGCCCAGGTGCTCCTTCTCCACCCCACACTGGTCCTATGTCAGTCACATGTACAGCATACGGAGGACCCAGAATCGAGAGTGGTAAATGAGTGCACCATTGAGTTCATGATGAGCGGTGAACAAAGAGAAAGCTGGGTAAAACCAATCCCGTGGCTTCTGCTGGCCGACACTTAGACGAGACTCTCACCGGGGAGGCAGTTGCAAATGTCTTTTCACAGTAGGTCATCTGTCTTTTAAAACATTTATTTGCTTTATAAATAGAGATGCTTTAACACCTGCAATTATGAGAGTGGAACATGCATAGTGCAAAGACCCTAATCCAGGAAGGCATAAAGAACTTAAAATGACCTGAAATCACTTCTGTTTCCAGACAAAACGGAGTAGGAGGGACCAGATTTACCCTCCCACCTGAAATAACTCAGAAACAGGACAAAGTATATGGAAAGAAAATACTGGAGATCTTGGAAGTTGGGCGAGGAGTGACGGTTAAGTCCCGAGAGGCGGGAGACAGATGAAGTGAGGACAGACACTCAGCTTAATGACTCGGGAAAGTTTCCGGGTTGTGGCGCAGGAAACAGAGACATGGGCAGAAGCCAGCAGAGCTCCCGGCGCTGGGGAGACAGGTAGATGAAGCTGGTAGAGTTTGCAGGGAGAGTCAAGGACCGAGGGCAGCTGTGTAGAAGGAAATGCCACACTTTTCAGGGGCCTTCATCTGGATGCTGACCAAAAAAAAAGAGTGACGTCCAGGGCAAGAACCACTGGAGAGGATTAGAAGACAGTGCTTGGGGCTCACACAGGGCTGAGAAGAGTGCCTATTGCCAACTGTTTCCTGTTCACTCCCTTTCCCAGAGAGCAAAAGAACAAACCCAACTCACAGGGTATCCCTGAGAGCACTAAGAGTCTTCTGTCTGTCACAGGAAAAATTAACCATAGATTAAACACCGCCCTCATGTCATCGATGATGCTCAAAGGCAAGACAGGGCAGGATCAACAGTTTTTTAAGTAACTTAACTGATCAAGAACAAATTTCAGGAATATTTGTCAAGATACAAAAGTACTGAGCACTCTTCTAGGTTCCTGAGCCCAATTTCAATGTGCGGAGGGAGTGGTTCCAACACCAGTAAGCACTTCTTGCACCGTCACAGGGTGCCCAAGGAGTCAACTCAATGCTGACACTAGCTATTTTTAGAAAAGACCTAAATCAAACTTCTAGAGATAAAAACTGCAATGTGTGAGATAAAAATACACTGCACAGTATTAACAGCAGATTATACACTGCAGAAAACAAGTCTAGTGAACTTGAAAACATAATAGAAGCTATCCAAAATGAAATACAGAGGAGCAAAACATTTACAGAAGCTCGGTAACATGTGGGACTACTTAGAGGGGCTGAATATCCATGCAATTAGACTACCCAAATGAAAGAAGGGGGTGAGGAGAAAAAATACTCGAAGATCTAATATAATTTTTCTAAATTTGATGGAAACTATAAACCACAGATCCAAGAGGTTCAAAGAACCCCAAGCACAAGAAACATGAAGTAGACTACGCCAGTGAATCCCTGAAGACCAGTGGTAAAGAGAAAATCTTAATAGCAGAGAGAGAAAAAAAGAAATATTTTGTACAAAGAGACAAAAGGGATTAAAGAAGATTTCATGTCAGAAATAAGCTATAAGACATGGGGTGGGTGATGGTGGTGGGGGAAACATTGCCAACCTAAATTTTATACCAAGCAAAAATATCTCTCAAAAAATAAAGATAAAAGACATTTTCAGACACACATAAGCTGAAAGAATTCATCACAAGAAGATGCACACACACATATAATATATCTTTTATTTTTCACTTATACCACAATAAAGCTGAAAAAAAGAAAAAAAGTCACAGCCAACCTGCCCTATAAAATACACTAAAGGAAGATCTTCAAGCAGAAGATCAACGATCTACACAAAGAAACAGTAACTCGGAGGCCATTTGAACACCTGCATGCTTATACACTGGAATATTATCCAGTCTAAAAAAAAAAAAAAGGAAACCTTGTCATTTTTGACAACATGAATGGACCAAGATGATACTATGCTAAGTGAAATAAGCCAGACGCAGAGAGGCAAATGCTGGGAGATCTCACTTATATGTGGAATCTAAAATAGTCGAACTAAGCAGCCAAGAGTAGACTGGTGGTTGTCAGGGGTTGGAGGGAGGGGGAGATGGGGAGATGTGGGCCAAAGGGTATTTAGTTTCAGGCATGTGAGATGATTAAGTCCTAGTGATGTAATGTACAACACGGTGATTGTAGTTAACAATATTATATTGTATACTTGAAATTTGCTAAGAGGGTAGATCTTCAATATTCTTACCAACACCACCCCCCCCCCCAACCCGCAAAAAGAAAGAAAATGGTAACTGTGTGAGGGGGTGAATGTGTTCGTTAGTCTGATGTGGTGATCATTTCACAATGCATGTGTAGACCAAAACATTGAGCTGTGCACCTTACATATATATATATATATATATATATATATATATATATATATATATATATTATTTTATATTTTGAGAAAGAGAGAGCGAGAGAGAGAGAGAGAGAGAGAGAGAGAGAGAGAGAGGTTTATTGCTCGTTTATTTTTCACTTATACCACAATAAAGCTGAAAAAAAGAAAAAAAGTCACAGCCAACCTGCCCTATAAAATACACTAAAGGAAGATCTTCAAGCAGAAGATCAACGATCTACACAAAGAAACAGTAACTCGGAGGCCATTTGAACACCTGCATGCTTAACTGTAAATAGGTAAGAAGATAACTGATTTAAAGCAAGAACAATGACAATGTACTGGTGGTTTAACACAAGTGAACTGTAGGACAGTGACCACAGGGAGGGCAGTGGGGAGAAGCGGAGGTATACGGTTGTGGGTTCTTCTAGTGTATGAAGTGGCAGACTGTGATAAGGTGTACACTATAAACCCTAAGGCGACCACTAAAGTAACACAACAAAGAGTGATAGCTAATTAACTAGCCAAGGAGATAAAAAAGAAATAGAAATAATCCAAAAGAAGGCAGGATAAGAGGAAACAGGTGGAAAAAGAACAGACGAGACAGAGAAAACAAGTAACAACATGGTAGACTTAAACACAACCATACCGATCAACACATTAAATACAGCCTACACGGGGGGCTGGCACCCTTTCTCTGTGAGGGCCACATAGAAAACATGGTAAGCTTTTTGGGCCACATACGATTTCTATCATGATCCTTTTTACATAAGCCCTTTAAAAATGTAGAAACTATTCTTGGCTCAAAAACAGGCTGCATGCCAGATTTGGCTGGCACGCTGTTGTCTGCCAATCTGTGGTCTAAACACCCCAACGAGAAAGCAGAGGTTGTCAAATGAGATAAAAAGCAATATTTAGTTTCATGACTGTATGCTGCCTACCAGTAACCCATTTTAAATGTAAATACTCAGATATATTAAAAGATAAAGGATGGAAAAAGATGTCTCATGCTAATGCTAATCCAAAGAAACCCAGAGTGGCTATATTAATACTAAACAGAGTAGGCTCAGAGCCAAGAGTATTGCCGGGGATGAGGATGGTAACTTCATAATGAAAAAATGTTCAATCATAAATAAAACACAACAACACTAAATGTTTATGTACCCAATAAGAGTTTCAAAATACATGGAAAAAGAATGATGAAACTGCAAGGAGAAATGAACAAATCCTCAAAAATAGTCAAGAGATTTCAACATCCCTTTCTCAATAACAGATAGAGCAAGTGGACAGA